TCTCTGTCTCTCTCAGCAATGGGGGATAAGTGACTTGCCCAAAGTCACACAGCTGGTAAATGACTGAGGCCAGATTTGAACTGATTCTCCTGACTCCAGGGTTGCTACTCTACCCATTGTGCCACCTGGCTACCCCAACAATAAAACATCTCTTGAATGAGTTCAAGTCCTTCTGACTTCTTGTCTGGACTATGTGTTATTGTAGTTGTTTGTCCTTTGTTCTCAAAGAGGACCATGACATCAGGAAGGAAATGCCATGACTTGCAAGTGCCTGGGCTAGCCTTCTAACTGGTCCCTTCTAACTGGTCATCCTACTTTCAACCTCTCCTTCTTCTAACCCATCCTTCATATAATGCCAAATCAATATTCCTAATGTATAAGTCTCATCGTATCATTCCCTTACTCACGAATCTTCCTGGCTCCCTGTTGTCTCTAGGATAAAATACCAACTCCCATTTGAAGCCCTCCACAATAATCTGGCCTGTATGTCCAGACTTGTTTTGCATTACTCCCCTTCACATTCTCTATCCCAGCCATATTGATCTTCTAGCCCTTCTCCAAATTCAACATTCTATTCCCGTTACTATGCCTTTGTATGGGCTCTCCATGCCGGGAATACATTGTTCCCTCATCTCAGGCTGTTAGAATCCTAAGTGTCTTTCAGGCTCAGTTCAAGTGGCACCTCCCTTGAGAAGTCTTTCATGATCCCCAGAGTTCCTAGAGTTTTCTTCTTCATCAAACCAGGTTGTATTTACTTACCTGTGTGCATGTGATATATTCCCAGTGGAAAGCAAGATTTTTAAAGGAAGGGACTGTTTTTTGTTGTTTTTTTTTTTTGTCTTTATATCCCCAGAACCTAGCACAAAGAATTACACATTGTAGATTTTTATTACATATTTCTTGAATTGAATTGAGTTGAGGTATCTGTGGGTCAAACACTTTGGGGATAGTGACATTTGGTGAGACAACCATCTTTTCCAAATAATAGTGGATTTGGAATCATAAAACATGGGTTCAAATGCTGACTGCCACTTATTATCTGTATGACCCTATGCAAGTCATTTAACTTCTTTGAGTCTCAGTTTCCTCATTTGTAAAATGACATGAGGAGATGATTTCTAAGGTCTCTTCTAGCTCTAAATCTATGGTCCTGTGACTACTGGCATCTGAAGATCTGACTTTTGTCTACTATTGGCTCACATCTGCTTTTTCTCCAGGTATGATATCTGCATGATTATAATGTTTAGGGGAATTAATAACCACATGTGGATTTAAATTTATTTTATAGATAGAATTTCTAATATGGGATTTCCTTTCTAAGAATGGGATTTTCTTTCTCCACTTCTGCCAATACTTGGAAACATTTTTCACACCACTATGAAATTGTAATTTCATTGTAATGTAATTCAATTAAAATATGTAGTTGTAAAATCAGTAACTACAGGATGGTAGTCAATAAACAGGAAATGACATTGAAGTGGTAGGAAATGGAAAGACTTACTTTCCCCCTTATTCTAACCAGCCTCTCTGCTCCTACCTTTACCAGGTTAGATTTTGTGGAAGAATGGGAAGAGGTGAGAAAGAGGGAAAATAGAAGAAAGGAAAGGAACAGGATCAGATATAGGAGATGAGGAATGAGATAAACAAGAATACGCTTTAATAGTTTGCTCCCATTCAAAATTGAGGAATGATCAAAGTGCCCTCCCTTCACTTCCCTGTTCACCTCATGAGCTTCACACTTCTTGGATACTTCAATGAGCCTGAACTAGCACTGATTGTGGGTACTCCTTTCAACACTGCACATCACAGCCCAACCATGGCTGTCCATCTCATGCAACTTGGTCCATATCCTTCCACCAATTCTCCACTCAGTGAGCTGTGGGTCTTTCTCTGTTCCTTTCAACATTATGTATGTTCTGCTATATAACTTGGTCTGTCTAGTCATTATTGATCATTCTTGCAACCTAACTGGCCATCTTCTTCAATAGTCTCTCACTTGGATGACATTCTTTGTTCTTTTATGTGATTCATCATTTGTTGTGCATTGCGTTCTTCTTGCACCCACCATGTATTTCTCCATTGATCTTAGGTTTACTCTCAACTATGATTCTTCAGAGACTGTTTGCCTCTTTGACCCATAGTCATTCAGCATCCCTGCAAGAATGTTGCTGTTAAAAAGATAGTCCTTTGTTTTCATGGTGAAGCATAGGGTCGTTAAAAATTTTAATTACCCAAAAGAAATCCAGCCCATTTTTCTCCTCTTGTTCAACTCTAGTCCCTCCTGATTATCCATTTATAGTGTACATCTTAAATATATATACTTCATCTCTCCACTCTGGGCATTCTCTCTGGCTGTTCCTCCTGCCTGGAAGGCTCTTCCTTTTCCACTCTGACTACTGATTGAACTGCATTATTTTAAATCCTAACTTAAATCCCACCTTCTACAGGAAGCCTTCCCCAACACCTCTTAGTTCCAGTGACTTTCCTTTGTTAATTATTTCCTATTTCTGTTGCATATCTTGTATATAGTTTGCTTTGTATATATTTGTTTGCATGTTATTACCCCCATTAGGTTATACGCTCTGATGGCAGGGACTATCTTTTACCTCTATTTATATTCCCAGCTCTTACTACAATTCTTGGCACAGAATAGGCACTTTATGTTTATTGATTGACTGATTGATATAGAGACAAACTCAAAAGTTTTAGTGCAATTTTTAGCTGCAATCTGCACTTAGACTTTTGGGACAGCCTGTATGTATTGCCTGATCCATTTTGTGGGTTGTCCATTTGAAACAACGCATATTATAGTCTAGACAATAGACATTTTTCATCCACTTGATTTTTCCTGACTCCAGTGTGAGGCCAAACTCTTTTGAGTAATTATGGATGTCTTTTAGGAGATTTTGCAGTGCAAGACAATGAAAGCTTGGTACAATCAGTATAATTGCATCCTTAAACAAGAAAATCTGGAGAGTGCCACTATCTATAGTAAATCTGTCTTGCATTTGAACTCTCCATCAGATATCTTCCATGATGATGGTCAGATCTCTCCCTGTTTTATTCATTGTTTGATAGCAATAACCAAAAAACTATCCAATAAAGTTATCTGATCTTCCATCTCTCTCAGGGAAGGGTGTTAAAGGATCAAGTCTTAGGTGTTCTGAAAGAGTGGAGGATAATAAAGATCTTGGACCTTGTTATTGATTTAAAAAAAAAAGACAACTGAAAGATTATAAATAACTCCTGAACTATATGCCTACCTTCCCATCTCTACAAAATATTTGGGAAAAAAATCTGTACACACTGAGGCTATCCTTGAGAAAGGTTTACAAAGGAAACAGGCAAGCTTTATTCACAAGATAGTAAGGTTATAGGATGTTCCAGCTGAAAGGGACCTTAGAAATAATCTAGTACAACCTCATTTCACAGATGAAGAAACTGAAATCCAGAGAAAGTAAAGGGCTTGTTCAAAGTCAGATAATTAAGTTTCAGAGGCAAGATTTGAACTTTGTTCCTCTAATTCCTAAAGCAATGGTCTTTCCATTGCAATATTAGAGGTGGAAGGACCCTAGAGGATGCCATTCCTTTCTTGTTAATCTCCTTCAATGTTCCATTATCTCTTCTGTCACCATTTTTCTTCCCATTCTGCTTTATGTCCTATTGGATGAATTTTGTTGTTTCTCTCCTTACCCCTCTACCCTCCTTGGGTTTCTCACAAACCAGATAGAAAATGCTACCTGACTTTGAGAGATCTGGTAAATATTTCAAAAGGTGGGGGTGGGAGGGGAAGAATTAGAAAGGCCACTAAACCAGCCTGTCTTCATTCCCAATAAATGGTTTCCTTTTCTCGTAACTCCTTTACTATTTCCAAATGCAATCGATAACTTTTTCTCAGGGGCAGGAAAGCAGAGTTTATGAAGATATTCCATAGGAGACAACGCATAGAGGGTATAAAATCCCATTGTGCTTGTAAGTTTGGCTTGGGTTTCCTATTAAAATACATTACCTAAAATCTCTCTTCCAATAAAGTGCTTCCTTAATGTATATGAAAATCATACTAGATTCTATGAGAGATATAGCTTTATTCTATAATGACACAATAGCAGATTCAAGATAGAGACATTTGTCCCTAAGGTTGTCTTTCAAGGGATAGGTTGTAGATATTGGTCATGGTAACTTGGCTGCTCATAGTAAAACATGTGAAGACTAATAATTGCTATTATCATTATTGTTATTAATATTACGAGCTATGTGTTACCCTGGGAACTGCCGGAGGGAATTAGCCAAGAGGAGAATTGATGATTCTTAACATTTACAATTAGCCTTTACCTGTGACCCATTCATAATGTCTTCTATGGATCCAGAGGGGGTAGTTGGTGAACACTCTATAAAACTTCTATGATAATTATTTTTTTAATCTAAATTACATTTCACTTTTTCTTTGTGATTTTTTTTATACCACCCTTTCTTTGAGGTCATTTCAACACTTTTTTTGTCTTCATTGATGTTCATTGAGCATGGATTTAGTGAACAACTATCAAGGTGAGTCTTTGCCTATGGGACCTAAGAGACAGGGCCACAGGCTGGGGAAAAGTTAGTATGGGCTCATTAGTGTTTTACATTAGCTTGTAAGACTGATGGGAACTTTTCAGCCTTTTTGACTCATTGATACAATTATTAATCATTTTATTCATTCCAATTGGCTAAGAAGAAGAAGGAGACAGGTAGCTAGAGACAAGCTATATTTTACTTTTTGGATATTGCTTTACTTACTGTCTAAGCTTTGATGTTTGGGTTTCCATATTTGCTGTCATTTCTTTGATGTCATAGATAATTTTCCCTCATAACCTCATATCCTCATAACTTTGCTTTCCTGGGGCAAACAGTGATGTCGTGTTCCTGGTTGACTGATGAAACACTCAGGTTTGCCTGACCCACCCTCAGAAGGCTGCACCACCCAGGACATTATGAAAATGAACTTGCCACTTACTGCAAGCCAAATGTCTTCAGTGCTGGGCTGAGTTGAAGTCTGAACTTGCAATATACCATGGAATCCAGAAGATCAGAGTGCAAAGAGCCTGCTGTGGATCTCCTCGGAGTAAGTTTTCAGCTAGAACACTATTTTTATTTTGTGAAGAATTCAAAATGAAAAGTGTAGGCATTAAAAAACAAATCCTCTCCATTATGGGTATAGGTGGTTTTGGGGTTTGTTTTTTTTTTTTAATTACAGAGCTTAGCCGTGGAAATATGAAGTCATTAAACTCAGGATTGGACTGTCAAAGGATGATCATTGATAGGTGCTTTTCTATTTTCTTTTTGTGAGAGCTTATTCTTTGGTGAGATCTCACAGAAAGTTAATCTTACTGAATTAAAGGAAAACATTCACTTCTTAGACTTCCACCTTAATATGTAATTTCCCAGCAGGTGACCAGGAGAAGGGGATGGGATTTAGCATTTTGGAGAAGTTCAAGAAGGATTAACCAATGCAGAAATGAATCATTGCTTTTGAGCTTTTCTCTAATCATAGACTATCTTATTTTTTAATGTATTTAGCTGGCTCTTAGGGTAAATTACCCCTGTTGCTTTTATTAAGAAGGAGAGAATTTTCAATGGAGAATGCTGCCATTTATCTTCCTAAAAACACATATTAAAACAGGGGGCATATTAGGCACATTAGACCGAGAATTAAGCTTAGTATAAAAGTTTTATATATAATACATGCCCTTCTGAAAAGGGTTCTGTGGAGGACTTGGCTAGCATGAATATCAGTAGGAGGTATATTTCTTTATGTTCTGAATTTGCAGTTGTTTTTGTATATCAAATTGTTTTTAGTCCCTAAAGGGTTTTTTGGTTAATTTCATCTTTTTAGACTGAACCTTTTATATAGAAAGCAGAAAGACTTTAACATAATAATGATGATGATGATGATGATAATCCTCTATATTTATGTAGTGATGAACTCTGAAGCACTCCAAAAGTACTTGTAAAGTTGGTCTTATTAAATTTCAGATCATTCGGTGATCTGAAGTAGAACTTCTCCCTTTGAGGTGTCATACTTATAGCTGTAAAGTTTATAGCTGTAGATATAATTATAGTGATGGCTATTCACATAGGTATACATATAGATATAGGCATAGGCAAAGGCATTGACATAGGCATGCATGGGTATAGATATAGGCATAGGTATAGGTACAGATACAGATTTTTTTTTGACCAGACTCTTGATTTCATTGGTATATGGTACTCCCAAAGGAGACACTCTCCAATCAAATGCAGATTAACACCTTCTCTGCAATTAAAATTCTTGGATTGTTTCCTACGGGAAACTAAGTGGCTTATCCAGTATGAGAATATGGGCATGTATTAGAGGAAATATTTGAATTCAGGTCCCCCTGACTGTACTTGTGATTTCTTTGATATAGAGAACTCTCAGATAAAGAAACTCCCTCTGCCAATTTAGGCTGGCATCTTCTTTGAAATTTATAGTAATATGGAGTTGACCAGATTACTGAGTAACCTCCCCCTGAGTCACTCAGCTAGTACAAGTCAGAGGTGGGTGTTGAAGCCAGGAGAACCACTCCATTATCTTTGACAATAAAACTTCAAGGGGGGGTCCCAAAGAGTTAGACATAGCTGAAAGATGACTGAATGACCAAACTGAACTCTGAGGACAGCTTTCTAATTACCGCTCTATCCTTTGTCTTCTAAATTCATTGGTGTAGAGGAATTCCAAGTAAGGATATGCCTTCTGTCAATGTAGATTGGCAACTATCCCACAGGTTAGAGAACTGGTTATGGCACCAAGAAGATAAGTAAGCAATTCTAGTGTGTAGGATTATCGCATCATGGATTTCAAGCTGGAAGGGACCTCAAGACCATTTAGTCCAACCTCCTCATTAGATAGATGAGGAATTGAATCCCAGAGAAGTTGTGACATCACAAAGGTCACACAGCTAGTAGGTGGTAGAGGTGTATTCTGGAGTCAGGTTAAAATGACTTCCTAACTCTGAGGTTGGCTCTCAATCCACCAAGCCATGTTGCCTATCACACACACACACACACACACACACACACACACACACACACACACACACCTCTTACCCAGGCAATGTGAGCAAAAGGATGCTAACATAGACATTGTGGAATTCAAAGGCAGTGCTGGCCTTTAATCCAATTCAACAAACCCTCTTCTAGAATTTTGACTCTTTAAAGTTTATAATTGGTGTTCTTGGATTTTGGTTTCCTTCTCTCCAAATGCACTTACAGGAAATGGAATTAAAGATAGGTCTAGGGTGACATGATTAGATGTCTCCATTAGCCCTCTTTCTCTTCCTTGCTTTTTCTCCCTCCTCTTTGACAGAGTAGGGTCAGAGATGGTATCAAATAAACATAGGACAGAGCACCCAATTTTGGTTAAGGCCAGGCTTGGTGGAGAGGTTATTATTATCCCCATTTTGTTGCTTAGGAAGTCAAGATTTCTAAGTGCTGATGAATTATCCAGGGTTATACTGTTGGAGGCAATGGGAAGAGAAACTCTAGCTATTATACTACGCCATAAAAAGAAAGTAAAACAGACTCATACTTTCATGTCATGCAGTTGAAGTGTGTTATGGGATTTTATTTTATAACAACTTAAATCCAGTATATAAATCTCTCTCACACCAGTGAGACATTTCTGCTGTTACTCAGTCTGGGTTCTCTTAAGGCAAGCATTTCTAAATTATAGCATGTTGCTTGGGTCAAGTTTTCTTTTTTCTCCTTTGTACCCTTAAGAATCTTAGAATCACCGAATTTTCCTTCTTAAAGGGCCCTTAAAGACCATCTGAGCCAACCTTTCTATTTTATGAAGTCACTCAAGGGTTAAGTGACCTGGCCAGGGTCTCACAGCTGATTGATAGCTAGCAGTCTGAACTAGCAAACTAGATAAGAGTGTTAAAGATTAGGCAACAGAGGAGCAAAAGAATCTGCCCACTAAGGACCAATTAACAGATTCTGTAGCCTGGAAAATTTTTCCTCAATTCAAATTTCTTCATTGTTGTTGTTGTTGTTGTTGAGAGCAGACAGGAAATAGAAATCATAAAAATAAGGGTGGAATAGCTTTAACATTCAACAATCATTAGGGGCCTATTATGTGCAAGGTATTATGCTAAGTGCTCAGAGTCCCAAGCCAAAAATAAAACAAAACAAAACAAAACAAAACAAAGCAAAAAACCAAAACCTGAAAGTATCTGACCTCGAGAAGCTTCTGTTCTGATCCTGTTAAGGTCCTGCTGTCTACATCCAAAAGAATCTTAGAATTTGAGAGACAAAAGAGACAGACCAAGGTTAATCAGCCTTCAGTATAACTGTCTACTAGTAGCAGAAGATTGTCTATTCTGTCATTCCCTCTAATCCTTCTTTTCTCTGGGCATGGTTTGAATGTAACTTGGAGAAAAAGATAGTTCTGATCTTAGAGGAAATGAGTCCTCTCTCTATTATAATTTCATGATTTCCCTTGTAAAGTCATGTTGATTGTTCACCTCAAATTGGAAAGAAGGTCAAAAAAAAAAAAAGAAAAAGAAAAACCTGAGCAGAAAGGAAAGAAGGTAATTCAACCTATCATTGAAATTCAAAAGCAAGATGATGAATTCATGGGAAAACCCGATGGGAAAATAGCTTCCACTACTACTTTTATTTCAGAATGTTGCCCTTATATTCCCTTAACTGGTGTTCCATCATGGAGCCTCACTTGGAAACCTCTTTGTGTGGCTCTGAAGGTGATGGCTATAAGCCAGTCAGTCTTCAGACAGTAAACACCAGCAGCTACCATGTGCCATGCACTGTACTGAGCATTGAGAATACAAAGAAAGGCAAAAGACAATCCTGGCTCTCAAGAAACACACACAGTCTACTGGGGGTAAACAGAATGCAAATGACTAGGTCAAAACAAACTATGTACAAGATAAATTGGGGAATAACCAAGAGAAGAAAGGTACTGACCTTCAGGGGGATCAGAGGGGTTTTATATGGTACTTAAAGAATGCCAGATAAATTAGGAGATGAAGAAAGCATAGGGGACAGCAAATAACAATTCTTGTCAAGGCAGCCCGAGTCACTGGATCACAGAGTACATGAGGGTAAGGTGTAAAAAGACTGGAAAGTGGGGGAGGCAGCAAAATTCATGAGACTTTGAAGCCAAACAGAGGATTTTATATTTGATTCTGTCGGTGATAGGGAGTCACTGGGGTGTTTTTAGGAAGATCACTTTGACAGCTGAACAAAGAATGGATCTGAGTAGAGAGAGACTTGAGGCAGGGAGACCATTTGGCTAGTTATTGTAGTAGTCTAGGTATGAGATAATGAGGGCACGCTCTGGGGGAGTGGCAGTAGAAAGGTTGCATATACAAGAAATATTATAAATGTAAAATCAATAGGACTGGGCAACAGACTGGATATGGAGAGTGAGAGCAAATGAAGAGTCAAAGATGGCACCTAGGTTGGTACCTGCATGACTGAGAGGACAATAGTAGAGAAGTCAAGAAGGGGGGAGGATTTTAGGAGAAAGATAGTAAGTTCAGTTTTAGACTTGCTGCATTTAAGATGTCTATGGGACATCCAGTTTGAGGTATCTAATAGGTAGATAGAGATGCCAGGGAGCTTTCAATTTTTGGTGGAATTCCAGAACATATTATTAAGGAGATGATTAGTGACTATGTAGAAAAGGAAGGAGGAAATCTTTATTAAGAATGGATAGTGCTAGACTAAACTAATTTCCTCTTTTGACAGGGTTACTAGAATGGAAGACCAGGGCCAGGCTATAGACGTAGTCCATCTAGAACATCTCTGAACATTTAAGCAAAGCATTTGACAAAGTCTCTCAGGCCATTCTATTGCATAGAATGAAGGGATGTTGCTTAGTGTGTTAGACCAGGTGCATGCTGGCCCCAAATGAAAGTTACAGGATCTGAATCAATGAGGTTAAAAAAACAAAACAAAAAACACCAAACCTTTTACTAGGTACAAACACTAAGCAAGAAAACACATTGACACATGCAGTTTTTTGGGTTCCTGCACATGGGACACACCCAGGTTGATAACCGTAGCCTATATGGGAATAAA